GGGTCACCGCTTGGCACTGCTTTCGGCTGGGTTATTTTTTTCTCCCCACTGGCCTTAATATTTTAACGTGGGAGCTGTGCCGCCTTCTGTGGAACAAGATGCGTCTGCCGATGAGCTGTCTGAGGGCTTTGAATAAATAACGGAGAAATATGTCACAGCAAAGTGTGAAAGCAAACACGGCATTTCGAACAAAATGTTCCTTAACTTGGCTTGCAGTGTAGTAAATACTTTTATTTTTTTTAAGAGGTACTGATGATTGTTTTCTGTGGCTATCCAAATGTGCTGGGGCTGGGAATAACGTACAAGTTTGGGAAGACAAATAACCCACCAAGCACATGTGCTTTGAAAACATTTATTTATTTATTTCCTAGAAGAAGAGCTCAAACTGTTGAGCTTCTTTTCAGTGTTTTTAAAGGAGAGACTGTGAAGAGAGATGTATCAAAAATTAAAATTTCCCAAAGTTCTGATCAGAATAAGTGTTGCAGTGATTAAAATTATGATTTCTAAACACATTTTAGTGATCAAATTATTTGCTCAGATAAATACTTATGTAAAACACAAGATACTGATCTCTACGTGGATACTTTTTGATGTCAGTATCCTTTGCATCTGTGTTTAACTAGTACTAGGTCATTTATTTTTAGATGGAATACAATTCAGTTCACTTCTGGTGATACATACAGTGCTGCTTCTCATCTAAAATTATTCCAGCTGTGGAGAAAAGAATGGGCCAAATCTGGTTAGAACAAGAACTCTTTTTCATATTTTTCCCTGTTTTCAACTCTTTTAAGAAGACGACATTAGTTTTCAGACATTGAATTACAGTGTGTGTTGATGAAATTATTCACTTCTAAGGTGTTACTTACACTTTTTCCTGCTAGAAGTTAAATAAAGTTATATTAAGTTTTATAAATTCGTAAAGGTTCATTAATATATTTTCTCTCTTCTTTTGTGTGTGTGTTTGTTTTTCTGGAACAGTAAAATTTTTAGAAGTTATTAAGCCATTCTGTGCAGTGTTACCTGAAATCCAGAAACCGGAAAGAAAAGTGAGTGCCACATATTTTTACTGGTTCACAGATAGGAGTATATTGTGATATTCAGGTCCATGCTCTAATATAAATATAGACAGTGGGCCCTAAAGTAGGACGTATTCTTTGGAGGAGGGGGAATCCATGATAAGCTAAAAGATTACCATGCCAATGAATTCTTCACAGCCTTCTGATAAGTTTTTCCACTTAGTAGTTATGCTAACTATTTTTTTTTTTAATCTCATCTCTAGACTAAGTTTATTTAGTTTCAGCTCCGTATGATTTGATCTATTTTAATAGACTGGAACAGAGTTTTCAAGCTTTTTTTTTTTTCCTGTGGATACCACTGTTGGCTTTAAGTACTGGTCACAGCTCTGGGCTTTGAGCTGGCACATATACATTACTTTGAAAAGACTTGCGCTGTAATTCAGGAGCCACAAATTTAGTTCTTCCTTTCCCACAAAATATTTTCTACTCCCATAGCTGTGATTCACCTTCATGAAGTGGGAAAGTGATCTGTGATATATTTCAGGTAAATGCTCCCTGTTCATCTGCTGGATGTGACACTTTTCTTTGTTCTGAAATCAGTGAACAAAGTTCATTTACAGCTGATCTCTGTATTCCTCTAGCCCTAGAAACTCCTCCCATTTCTTGGCACATTTTCTAAATTAAAATTAGTTAATTTCTACAGATCAGAAAGAGAGGTGCCTTGTAAAAAAAAAAGAACCCCCCCTATTTTACTTTCAAAACTCAAGCAAGCACATATCGCCTAGGTGACAGAGTTTCTAATTAGAGTAACAAATTTACCTAATATTCATTGTCATAACTGGCATGAAAATTCCTTAAGAGCAAAATAGTGGGTTTTGTGTTCTTAAAAGGAAATGTATAGCTGGGAACATGCCACTGTCTGAGAGAATCCTCTTTTGTTGATGAGAGACTCCTGAAGGTTAGGACTGGATGCAGAGATGTTTGTGCCAGTAACCGTAGCTGAGCCTGCTGGATTGAATGGAGAAAATACAATTAAAACTGCTAATTATTCCCCTCTGGAATGGATTTTTAAAAAGACTGGGACTTATCCCCTGGCTCTTCGATCGATCTGTCTTTCCTTCTTGCTTTCCAGCATCTTTCCCTCTTGGGACAGGTTTCCAAACAAATTATTTAGATCGGACAAAAGCATCTTTGGAGCTGCGGTGGTGAACCTTAGTGCAATCTTCTGGTGAAAATTTAGGGCATCTCTGTGGTTAGTTGGCTACATCCATCCCATTTTTATCTAGTGAAGATAGGTAAAAGAGGAAGAGGAAACTAAGACAAATCTACAGATACTGATGTTTTTGTAAAGCTCATTGACAGTTGTGATTTTTCTCTTGTTTCTTTTCCTCCTCCCTTTCTGTTTGCAAGAAAGTAATTGGTGCTGCTTCTGTCCATGTCCTCCATCATCAGGTGAAGGTGCTGAGATTCCTGTCCTCGCTATTTGGGTCACATTGTCTTTATTACTGTCTAGATCGCTGTCTAGGCCATGACTGCCAGTTGCCAGCTTTGTACAAATTTGAAGTGAAAATATAATTTGGAACATCTTTCCGAGACTGAAGAGCCCTTTGACCATTTCAAGTTACATTCCTCGCTTGTGTGTGGTTCATCAAGTGACATAGGTCATTCTATATATCTGTAATTCTTTGTTACTTACTGTTGCAAGCAGTCACTGGCAGACATCGTTAGTAATGGGTTTAGTGGGTTGGTTAAGGCCAGGACAAGAAATGAAGATGACACAATAGAAAAAGAAATCTATTTTCTCTAAACTTGTATTGATTGTTAAGCAAAGATGAAGTTTTGATTCAGTTGGGCTCTCACTGAATCATTTTGCCGTTATTGATGATGAGGGAAGTGGGCTGCTCCTGTCACTAGGGAGTATTGCTTTTGTGTTTTGGCCAACTTGATTAACAGAAGCAACTGCTACTTTTGTAGTTAGTAGTATCAGATCATATTTCCCTCATACGCATAGATTTTGCTAAGTAGAGCGCACTGTTCAGAACACCAAGAAGATGATGCGTAAGTCACTTCATTTTGACAAGTATTAAGAAAAATGTCAAAGGAATAAAATGTCCAATTCAATCTGATCAGATGATGAAATGTACCGTCCCTGTCCTTGTTATCATTTGTGGTTGGAATATTTTGATACCAGTCTGTATTTTGCTGTTCCTGGCATATGGATTCAGATGCCTCCTTTCTCTTTTTTGTCTTTTTGAATCATAGAGACTGTTTTTCTTGTGAATAACTGTGATTTGGGTGATGCAGAATTTCTCTAATGCTCATATTGACCACAGTTACAGAGAGCGCCAGAGCAGTTGTAGAGCTTGACTGATGCCTCAGAAGCTAAGGTTAACTGTTGGTCTGCAGAGATAATTTGGTTAAGGATTTTTATTTTTAGAAGTCTGTACTTAAAATCCAAATTGTAGAATTCAAACAGCACTTGGTAAAGTGGGTCAGCACTGCATAAAATCTAAGACAAGATACTGTTTGGATTTATTTGCTGCTGTCACTATTTTTCTTTTTTTAACTTTTCCCTGTAAGTATTTTTAGCATCTGGCCTCTTTTAAGAGAGTGAGGCAGTATCAGCAAATAAATTAAATTAGTGGGCTTATTTTGCTTCTAAGTAAGTGCATGATTTCACTTATAAAGATATAGACTATTTCTGGGTTTTCTTTTGCTTGAGAAGCTGTACTGCTGCATCTGTTTGTAGTTTCTCATTTGTGTGTGTTCAGTACCTATAAAACCAGGCACTAATCCTTTTTCTTGTTACTTCTCTACAGGCAGATTCAGTGGTCGGAGGCAGAAAGCTAGTATTTCTGATCTGTCTATCTTACGTGTTAGTGCATATCATGTTTTAGTAGCTGCTGTGCTCTTGCCTACAGTGAACACACTTATCCTAATCTTTACGGTCCATGGAGGAGAGGTGGGAACTTGAACATAACACTGCACCTTAGCCCTCTGTGGTCTCTCTGAGTGCGTTTCTTTCTATATCATGCTTTGAGTAATCCTCTGGTTCAAACTTAAATCTTGTGATTCTTCCCTTCTTGCACATGGCACTAGTTACAGTTGCCTCAAATGTTCTAATCCTGAGATTCTCTTCAACATACTAGTGACTAATGATCATTGATCTGACATTCTTCTTAAATTCATGTATAATCTACATCAATACAAATTTTTTCCCCTCCAAAATAGTCTTCAAAAATTATTTTGTAGTGTGTGTCCATGAACACAACGGTGAATTTAAGCTTCCTCTAAGACCTTTTGAAGAACTTAATTCTAAGTATTTTGAATTGCTGTCTAAAGCTGATGGTTCTTCTGGTTTTTATCACTTGTTTTCACAGCAGTTAAATCTCTTCATAATGCTTTAGTTTAATAACTTCCAGCCTTACAAAACAGTGCCTGCAATCTGTTGAAGCCTAGAGCAGGAATCACTGAAGATAAGTTTTTTTAGCATTAATCTTTCATGTTTGTTCTGATATGTCTGTGTTTTTAGCAATGCTATTGCTTTTCTGTAAATATATAAAATATATCCTACTCACTGAATGTTGGCCATGATGTCTGCCAAATACCATACAAGTTTTCTTTGGTGGCACAGAAGCCCATGACTATCTCTCTCTATAAAATCTGAAATCATATTAAAAATAAATTCTAATGAGAAGTAATGCCTTGTGGTTAAATATCTTTGCATTTAATTCTGAATTATACAGCATTTAGTACTAATGTGACAGTGCAGTGAAAGTTCTACATAAAATGAATACGTTAATCTCTACAATCTGTTCTGTAGATCCAGTTTAGAGAGAAGGTGTTATGGACGGCTATCACGCTCTTCATTTTCTTAGTATGCTGCCAGGTAGGTGTTGATGTTTTCTGTGTTTCAGAAGATGTGAGTTCTGTACATAGAAAATAGAGTGCTAAAAATGTGAGAAGTTGTTTCATGTTGACCTACCAGTTTCAGTTATTAGAACTGGTATTAGTATTATACTAATACTAAAATACTAAAAGTATTAGTTATTAGTACTATTAGTATTTTTATGGTTAAGTATTTAAAGCTCAGTTAAAGAAATCTGATTCTCTGAAATGGTCTTTATTATCGATTATATATGTTTTCAGACATTAATCCTTTCTATTTAGTATAAAATACATAATGTTTTTTCTTGTTATATGGAAGGTCCTATCAAATGATGATACTGGCTGCAGTGTAAAAGGCCCAGCTTATTATACATTGAGTAGTCTAAATAAACTGAGCAGTATTATGCATTCTTTACCCCGTTCATAGCTGAATTTAAATTTTAGCAGTCATCAGATTGAAAGTGAAATAAAGTGACTTGTTTTTACCTGATTCCTCTTGATGGGTTGTAAAGATTGCAGAAAAATGTTTCTGAGTGTTTAAGTTGACATTGGTTTTTTTTGTGAATATACAGACAAAAGTGTTAGCTAAAACCCCTCCAAAACAGTTTCTTTGTAAACATTTACGTGATCTCTATTACTTACAGTTGCAGAAGTTCCTAAAACCTGTACTTGGGTTGTAAATAGATAGTGTTGTTTGTTTTGTTTTTTTTTTAAAGAATACTTAGATATTGCAAAAAAATAAGAAGCCATGAATTACTTGATATCTATTTTTTAGAACCTGTAGACCTCTTAGAAGATTTAAAATTAATCATATATCTTCAGAATCAGGCTTTTTAGGTTATATTTATTAATATTTATACCCATTCCAGGCTCTGGAGCAGTAGTTTAGTAATTTTTGTTTACAATTCTGAAGGACTGTTGAAAGGCTAAAACGAAGCTCTTGTACCTACCTGTTGTTTTGGAAGGAAGAGACAGGAATGATAGTAGAGCTGGAAGAACATGTAGTTTATTTGTGTTTCCTAGCTGCTGGATATATGCATAATTAATATTTTTGAATCTATATAAAAGATTATGGTAGCTGAATAAAGAAATCAGATGGTACAGACTAGAGCTTTCAGGAATTAACCTGTAAGATTACCCGGATTCCTAGTGTACTGTTTTTGTGTAGGGTCTTAGTTTACATAGGTTAGTCCTCTGAGTCATACCGCAGTTGGAGGATTAAAATAGATGGTGCCAGTATCTATGTTACTGCATTCTCTGGTTTAATTAAAAAAAAAAGGTTGGAATAAATTACATTAAACAGTGTAACAGTAGAATCATTACACATTAAGATTTTTAGATTAATGCAAGCTTTCTTTGTATATCTGCTTAATACCACTGTGTGCTTTGACAGATACCCTTGTTTGGAATCATGTCATCAGATTCTGCAGATCCGTTCTATTGGATGCGGGTCATTCTTGCATCAAACAGAGGTTAGTACATTATTCCTTTCTCTCTGTTTTGTAGCGGTATAAACAGACCAGAAGCAAAATGGTTGACTGTTAAATTTCATACAACCCAGATGTCATGTTGAAACACTTTTTAAAGTTCTTCACACAGGTGTAAGTTGACTGATAGTGCTTCATCTTGACATACTGCCTGAGGAGTACTTTGTCTTAGGAATGGGGTTTCCTTTGACATGCAGATGAGATTAATCTTGATTCTTAAGTTTTGGGATTATTCTGTTTTGAATTGTAGAACAGTCTCTTTCTTATTAGTGTAAGGAACAGGCAATCTTCTGCCCTACCACTTAGGAACAGCACTAATGTGCAGTATGAGAGTGTTGACTAGAAAATACCTTATGTGTGCAAGTCAGTTATGCCTCATAATATTCTGGCAACATTATGGATGAGTAATTTTATAGGTGGGAAAGCTAAGGGCAGAGATGATTAGATTTATAGTTTGATAAAGCCAAGCTGACTTATTTTAGAATAGACAAGTGGATCCCAACCAAATGTATAAGAAGACTTAAACTAATGCTAGAATTCTAAAACTTAAGATGAGTGACGTGACTCTAAATGAGGACACTGACTTCATCTGTATCTTGGAAAATTGGCTGGAAGTAGGAAAATCAGTGGAACCCTCTAAAGTGAAGGTACAAATTATTTAGGAATGGCAAATTTTGTTAAAGCAGTGAAGATAATAAATTAAGGTAAATAAGTTATCGGTTTCAAACTCTACTGCACAATTTGCATATAAAATTCAGTGTCTCACTAGCAGCATATGATACCAAATATCCTATCCACTACAGAGACAGAATGGTAACAGTGGCCAAGAAAAGACTAGACAGACCGTGAAGGCAATAAAAAGCAGGAGTGGGAATGTTAATTTTCACCTAAGTCAGCTGACTAGATGTCATTGGAGGATGTGAGGTAAAGGCTAAAGTTTTTGACATCCTAATTTTCTTGCTGTTGGAGAAGTAGAGATTTCTATGAGAGGATGTAATATTTAACATGGTACTGAACAGTATGTAGACTCTAGGATACAAGTATGACAGGTCCACATCATAATAATGACTTTAATGCTTTCACATTTTACATTTTGGTAGCAGGGAAAGCACTAAAAAAAGCAAAATGGAAAAACTAATCATTCAATAATGCTTAAAATTTTTAAAAAATTAGAACTGAAATGAGGACTCTGGTAGTTAGGCAGAAATGAAAAGAAGACTACAGACAATAAGGGAGGTGCTCAGAAACTCTTTTTTAAATTCAGATTACTTATTAAAGACTGTTCAGGAAATTAAGCTATTGCAGGATAAGAGGGAAGTCCTAATGGCTTAAGAGCTGGTTGAAAAGATTGGAAGAAATGTCTGCACAAATCTGTAAGATGCCACAAATTGAATATTGGCCAGAGCTCTAATCTACCATGCCACACAGGATATAGTGGAACTAAAAAAAACTCAGGAAAAGGCACCAGGGAGAATCTAAGGTAGATACTAATCTGTAGAAAGAGATCCTAAAAAAAATAAAGATTCTTTGCCATGAAATGAACATATCCCAAATGCCTTTTAAGTCTTCATCTGTGGAAAAAAGTGGATAGGGAATGGGTAGTCACTTTTTTCTTCTACTGTAAGAGGGAAAGCACAGCACATGTAACTTAAAAGTTTCTGAATAGATTAGTCAGAAGTTGCCAGAACCAGTTTCTGAATAAATGACTGATATATGGGAAAAGGGAAATACAGAATTATACTTCCCCCAAAGAAGAGGCCTCTTGCAGAGGTAGGGTGTGAGGATAGATAAGCTTCTAGGCTGACCAGCTGTGGATATACTGTTTCTACTTCTTTTCATCTTCCATATGACCATTACAGATCATGCTTCCCCTGTCACTGGTTCTTGTTGAGACTTTATAAGTCTGCAGTGGTTAAATAGTTTATTAATGATTTTCTTGGTAAATTTATGATGGAACACTACCGTACTACACGTGAGAACAGAATTACACTTAAATGTACAGAATAGGAAAGAATTGCAAGCTGATTCTCTTTTGAATCTCCCTGGTGGATATTGTGACTTAATGTCAGAGAAAGTGTGCATTATTTATGTCCCTTGGGTGACTATGTAAAAGATGGTGACAAAGTGATTTGATCTGGCTTAACTGAATATTAAGCTTGTAAAATGTGTCCTTACCCAAACTTTTTTTCTTTAAGGTTCCAGCTTGGGAAATCTGGGAAGTCTGATCGCTTGGTAGTTTCTTAATTTTCGTCCCAATTTTCAACATTTTAGGTTTTTTAAGCTTTCAGTGTCATCTGATAGGGGAAAATTTTCTGGTATTAGCTGAAGGACAGCTTAAATTTCAAAAAGTAATCTCTTTATAATGCTGTTGCTCCAGAAAGGTGATGTGGAAGAATGATTCTGTACTGAGATGGGAGACTATATTGTACAGGCAAGAGGTGGACTATTTTCCTGAGTTTAATTGCTTTGTGTACATTCAGTTCTGCTCCCATACTGCATTATAATACAACTCAAGCAGGTATCAGTACTTGAACAAGACCTTGCTGAGAATAGTTCTAAATTAGAGTATCAGGTGGTAGTTCTAGTGTTGCAGGTGCATCAGTCTGAGGATGCAAAGTGCGTGGTGCCCCAGTTTTTATTACACCAGATGAAGTGACTGGGAGGGAAAACAGGGCAGGTGTTCTGGAATATACACCTGTGTGCTGCCGCAGAGTGTTTTATGAAATCAAGTTGCCCTGTTCAAGTTGTATACAGTTGGAAGTTGATACTTAGTGACATCGCACCAGTAGGTGACTTGGCAGAGTAGAGCATCTTAATGACATGTGTTTGTTTTGTTAAGAACTTCTGTGCTCTTAACTAGAGTCAGTGATTCCAAGAGCGGCGTTATCAGCCACTGTGGATCTGCAGCATCTTTCCTGTGGTCTTCAAAATTAAACTTTTGGAAAATGTGACAGTTGAAGCACTGACAGGGTAAAAAACTAGGGACAAGATGTTTTCCAGTGAAGGGTTCCTTGACATGATATGCCAAAAAGCTGAGCGTCACTGTGTATTGACCTTTAGTGTTAGCATGGTTTCACAAAAATATTTCAAGTGAAAAGCTACGTAGGTTTTTCATGCTGCCTTCAAAATTACAGATTTTAACACAGCAGCCTTCTTTTGTGCAGAGATAGCGGCCTTTGTTTTGATTATACCTGTGCTGGAATATACATGTTTGAAGCGTTTGAATCATTGAAAAATGTTCCTTATAGGTCAGAAACCTTTCAACAGACCTAATATCCTCTGAGTGTAATTCTTCAGGAGAGATGCTTGAATGGCAATTGTATTAATTTTTCTTCCTGTATAGGTACTTTGATGGAATTAGGTATCTCACCCATTGTGACATCTGGTTTGATCATGCAGCTGCTAGCGGGAGCAAAGATCATTGAAGTTGGTGATACTCCAAAAGACAGAGCCTTGTTCAATGGAGCTCAGAAATGTAAGCACTGTTCCAATTAAAATTAATAAGCTTATTTTTATCCTTGGGAAAGCAGCCTGCCTAAGTGATACTAGATGTGAGATATCTTTGGTAGGTGATTTCAACAGATTTTTTTTTTAAAGGATTTGCTTTCTCTCTTGTTTTAGTATTTGGGATGATTATTACCATTGGGCAAGCCATTGTGTATGTTATGACTGGAATGTATGGAGACCCTGCTGAAATGGGTGCTGGAATTTGTCTTCTTATTATAATTCAGGTTTGTAATGAACTATTTTGTGTGTAACTGAGACTGATTGGATACAATATAGCTGGAAGGAAAAATCTTTCTGTATCTGGTTGCCTTTTATTTATTTATTTTTAATGCTATAAAGCATCATCCTTTGTATCTGTCTGTCTGTATATGAGAAATTCTAAATATTCCATAAAGGAGGAGAAAGTTGGGATAGTTAATATCAGAAATGTTTCAGATAGGAGTGCATGTTTGATTCAAAATACAGGAATTAGTAGACTTTGAAAGCAGTAGCTGCTGTTCAGTACCATGGAGGGCTTCTCACTAAATGGCACAGATGCAGCTTTGAGACATTATCCTGTAGAGCAAAGCAGTAGATGCATAAACTTAAACACTTTTTTGAAAAAAGTGCTTACTGAGTAGTCTGTTTGCTAGCATCAGTGTTGAAAAATCACAGAGATCATTGCCAGGTGAGACGCGCAGGCATTTGTAGTGAGAAGACAGAAATACTGCATGAATGATACTGAGATGAAAACCTTAATGATCGCTCTCCAACATGACGAAAATACTGAAGCAGGGAATTAATACATAATTCTTGACTTGATTTATTCTTGTTTCTGCTCAGTTTTGTTTCTTTTCCCACAGCTGTTTGTTGCTGGTTTGATTGTGCTGCTGTTAGATGAGTTGCTACAGAAAGGTTATGGCTTGGGGTCTGGTATTTCCCTGTTTATTGCTACCAATATATGTGAAACGATTGTCTGGAAGGCTTTTAGTCCCACTACCATCAACACTGGCAGAGGTATGTGTGCTATTACAATTTGTTATAACCTGTTTCAGTGGATCTATACTATACATAAACTGTCAGGTGTTTACCAGATGGCTATTAAAAAAAAAGTTTTAATATATGATGATCAGCTTCTGAAGTCAGTTGTCTAACGTTGAAGATGAAAATGTCTGACTTATGTGAAGATTAATAACCTACAAGTTTGCCTTCGCTGATTTGAATTGCAGTAGTTAAAATGGGACTTGGAGCCCCTTGACTGAAGAATTTCAAACTGAAATAGTCTTGGTTTAGCATTATTTAATCCACTCTCGTGGTTTAACCCCAGCCAGCAACTGAGCACCGCACAGCTGCTTGCTTACTCCCCCACAGGACGGGGGAGAGAATCAGAAGAGTAAAAGTGAGGAAACTCGTGGGTTGAGATAAAGACGGTTTAAAAGGTAAAGCAAAAGCCACGCACACAAGCAAAGCAAAACAAGGAATCCATTCCCCACTCCCCATGGGCAGGCAGGGGTTCAGCCATCTCCAGGGAAGCAGGGCTCCATCATGCATAACCGTTACTTGGGAAGACAAACACCATCACTCCAAACGTCCCGCCTCTTCCTTCTGCTTCCCCCAGCTTCATATACAGGGCATGACATCGTATAGTGTGGGATATCCCTTTGGTCAGTTGGGGTCAGCTGTCCCACCTGTGTCCCCTCCCAGCTTCTTGTGCACCCCCAGCCTGCTTGCTGGTGGGGTGGGGTGAGAAACAGAAAAGGCCTTGACTCTGTGTAAGCCCTGCTCAGCAATAACAAAAACATCCCTGTGTTACCAACACTGTTTTCAGCACAAATCCAAAACAGTCCCATACTAGCTACTGTGAAGAAAATTAACTCTATCCCGGCCAAAACCAACACATCCACAGAAACAGAGAAGATAAGAAATTCTGTATGTTCAGAGGAGTTGTTTATGATCCAGGTGGTGTTTGTGGCTATAGGATATTTTTGTAGTTGGTGCCTCCAAATTACTTAAAGCTGGTTTGAGTCTTCAGAGGCTACCATCTCTTCTTTCTTCTGCCAATCTTTGACAACATCTGGTTGTCCTGAGACCCTGGAAGAATACCAAGTTAAGATACAGCCTGTTTGCATCAAGAAGTTAACTAGTTCAATGCATATATTCGAAATCCTGAGCCATGTTTTCAGTCTGCTTTCATTTTCACCTGATTTTCAGTAATCCTGTCTATTGCAGTTTATTACTGCTTTTCTAAAGCTATTTTTTTCCTTCTTTCCAATAATCCTACTGCCCCCAGAAAAGAATATAGAGTATTCTTTGATGTGTGTGACTTGGTTGTTTTTTTGGTTTTTGTTTTTTTTTTTTTTTTTAACCAGGAGTAATGTTTTGGTAGATTATTCTACATTCTATAAACTAAAACAGAAGCCTGCATTGCGATATACTTGTAACAGGATTTATGTCTTATTGTATCTGATTTTATATGTGTAATTTTTAAAATTTTCAGAAGAAAGATACTATTTTTTAAATGTTTTTAATGTACAATTTAAATTTGCTTTTCCTTTTTTGCTTCATGCAGGAACAGAGTTTGAGGGTGCTGTGATTGCATTATTTCATCTTCTGGCTACACGAACCGACAAAGTCCGGGCTTTGCGGGAGGCTTTTTATCGACAGAATTTGCCCAATCTCATGAATCTGATTGCTACAGTATTTGTATTTGCTGTAGTTATATATTTTCAGGTAAAATGAGAAATTCCTTTGCAGCTGCATAGGTAGAAGTGCATGGACCCTAGACACTGCAGTCACTGGTGAAAAAATGCGAAAGTTAAACTAGAGTAACTGAAGTATCTTAGCTTTGAGTAAGGAACCCTTTTTGTTTCAATATTGTTATTTCAATAACATAACTCTGTGACAGTACAGCTGTTAAATTTTACAGTCAGACGTGCTTGGACAGTGATGTAATCTTACATACCGTTAAGCGGCATACACACTATGAGAGTATTTTTACTAAAAATGGATTCTGGAACTGCAGCGGTTGTATCACACAAGTAATATACTTGATATTCATAGATGACTTACAAGAATACCTTTGGACAGAGCTGAAGAACCTTGCTTCTTTGGGGTGTGCATGACACAGATTTGTTCTAGAAAATAACTGTTTAATTAATGCATAACTTACTGGTTTTCCCCTAATTTTCTTGAAATACTTAGCTAGTATTTTTCAATTTAAGTATTTACTAAAATGGACACTAAAGGAGCTCCATATGGTAATTTGGCGGGGGGCGTGTCTAAAATGTGATTTGTTTGTTTGTTTGGTTTTTAAGCTGTTGAGTCAGAGTGCTGGCAAAAAAATGAATTACCTGGTTTTCAAATCCATGTGGCTTTTCGTGAGTCTGCTCTGATGGGAGCCTACCCCAGAAAACAGAAGGCCAGGCTTACTACACAAAAGTCTGCTGTTAACTGCCTGGTTAAGTTAAAGGCCATTAAAGGCTTTTATGAAACCCTATTCTATAAAATGAATTTTAGAGGAGTATGATTTAGAAGATGAGAAATAATGATTATGTAAAAAGAATGTAATACAACCAAGCAGTAACACTTATAAATCCTTAAAATTTGTCATCTGGACTGTAGCAGAATGCCTTTGGCTTTTGTTGTCTCAGACCTTGCACTCCTTGTTTATCTGGCAAAATCTCTATGGTCAGGAATAGCTTTTAGGCATAGTGGGAATGCCTTCAGTCTTGGTAATAAACATGGTGCATTTGTATTCTTTCCCACAGGGATTTCGTGTTGATTTACCCATCAAGTCTGCACGGTATCGTGGACAGTACAGTAGCTATCCTATCAAGCTCTTCTATACCTCCAACATTCCCATCATTCTGCAGTCTGCCTTAGTTTCGAACCTCTATGTCATTTCCCAGATGTTGTCTGTTCGTTTTAGTGGCAACTTCTTGGTGAATTTATTAGGACAGTGGGCAGTAAGTATTTTACCACTTTTTTTAACTGCATAAAATTATTTGTATGTATTACTTCATTGTGAAACTTTGGTATTTAACCAGCAGAAAACTGGAATACTTACTTTTTAACATTTGTATATAAAAGCTGTTTTAAGCATTAAAGAGCAATTCCTCTATAAATACAGGATAGGAATGCGAGAGATCTGTGAGAAGTAACTGCCTTTTTGTTCCCCTCTCGTAGGACGTCAGTGGTGGTGGCCCTGCTCGCTCTTACCCTGTTGGTGGCCTGTGCTACTACTTGTCCCCCCCAGAATCCATGGGTGCAATATTTGAGGATCCTGTCCATGTAATAGTTTATATAATATTTATGTTGGGATCCTGTGCGTTCTTCTCAAAGACTTGGATTGAGGTGTCTGGCTCATCTGCGAAAGATGTAGGTGTTCTGATAAGCGTGCCTAAATGTTTTCAAACAATGCCTCTAATTTAGAACTGACACATTCCTAACTGATCAGTTACTACTCTGACTAAGTATCAGGTGACTATGAAACACTGCAGCAGTTTCATAAAATTATGTTTTTTGCAGGTTGCCAAGCAACTCAAAGAACAGCAAATGGTGATGAGAGGCCACAGGGATACTTCAATGGTTCACGAGCTTAACAGGTAAGGAAAGGCTGACTTCCAACAGTGCTGCTGTACTGGGCGGTTAAGAGTGGTGGGGAGGTGTCAACTAGAGCAGGTATTCTTGGAAGAATCTGAGACCCGTTTCTACTGCAAACGTCAAGATTCTTCCCATTCAGCTGTTGCCTTTCCTGGTAACACAGAAGGTGTTCGTAGCAGTAGGTAAGAGATTAACCTGTAGTGTCTTTTGTTTAAGTGGCATAATGAGGGAATTTGGGTTGAATCTCTTCCATGTTTGTAAAAGGAAGACACCTTGATTTTTGCAGGTGTTTAATTTACCATTACTGAACTAAGATGACACTACGAAAGTGGTATTTTATGCAGTATGCAAAGCCTGCAGATCTATATTGAAAGGTAGACTTATCCCTCCATATTTAAGTCGAAGCAGTTATTCTTGGTCCTGTGAAGGTTATATAGCAATGCATATACATAAAATTGTTATACTGTTAATTTAAAAGCTTTGCCAGTGTCCAATTACTGACACAGCTTTCCTATCAGTGAACACTTATTTTAGCTTCTACTTTGTGCAAATACAGAAGACAGTAAGAGCTAATGGCAGAGTTGCATTTGCAACATTTATTGCTCAATATTCTAGTTGGTTGTTTTAGTAGTGGATGTATTATTAGAATCCTTGGATGGCAATTCATGAATTTTTTTTTTTCCCCCGTTGGTACAGGTATATCCCTACAGCAGCTGCATTTGGTGGTTTGTGCATCGGTGCCCTTTCAGTGTTGGCTGACTTTCTAGGAGCCATTGGGTCCGGCACTGGCATTCTGCTTGCAGTCACTATTATTTATCAGTATTTTGAAATATTTGTAAAAGAACAGGCTGAAGTTGGAGGAGTAGGTGCATTATTTTTCTAGGTGGCCAAATACTTCATGGTTTGTGTGAAAGGGAAAGTATTTTGACAACATGCATCATAGTCCAATAATGCTATTTTATTTTTACTTGTTTTAAAGTGCTACGTGTCCCATTACTGTAATGGGCATTGAGCAATGCCTGTGTGCAGCATTAGTACCAGCTGCCTTAAGAATAAAGTTTACATTATCTGGTTTAAGTATTATCTAGTGTTGCCTGTAATGCTGGAAACAATTCATCTACCTTGCTGTTCAAACACTACAGTGAGATGGTAAAATGTATCAGTTTGATATCGGTAAACGATTTTGCACACAGCATCAAAATGTTAAATTTATTTCCCTGTCCTTAATAGGAAAAAGTAAAAATCTGAGTCCAGATTGCCACGTGCCAGTATTCTTGGGAAAATTTATTTGTAGCCTGTATTTTACATTGATTTTTTGTACTTTTTTAACTTGCATTTCCCCATCATTGAACTTGGCACTCCTTATTCCTTTGTGGTGTCTCCACCCAGGCACCTTTCTCTTAGCTCCAAGGGTGGACAAGCAAACATTTTGTTGGAGACTGATACTCATCTCACCTGTGAGCTGGTTCTGTGGTGGATTTGCTGCATCGCAGGGCCGGGGGCATTTGGGCTTCTTGCCCTGAGCCTCCTGTGAGACAATGTGGTAGCTGCTGTCGTGCGAGCAAGTCAGCCCAGTAGTTTTGTTGAAACGTGTACTTGTGAAAACCGTGCCACTGAAACTTCGTGTCCACTTTGCTTTTGTGAGGCTGAAGAACATGGACTGGCTCCCAAAGCAGTGTTCATAGAAGGGAAAGGGGGG